TTTTTTGAGTTGGTGTTTCACTCTGTCACCCAGACTGGAGTGCAGTGACACCTTAATGGCCACCCCAGCGTCGACCCTCTGGGCTCTGACAATTCTTCTGCTTCGGCCTTCCAAGTGGCCAGAACTACAGGTGTGCTACCATGTCCGGCTAATTTTTTCTTAAAAATTTACTGTAGAGACGAACTCTTGCCAACTTCACCAGGCTGGTCTTGAACCCACGGGCTCAGTTAACCCACTCGCCTCAGCCTCCCAAAGTGCTGGGATTACAGACTGAGCCACCGAGCCCGGCCAAAATATATCTTTATATATTGTGTGATTGCGTGCATCTCAGAAGTGATTATACAAAGCCTACACCTGCTACTGACATTTTCTCTGTTTGCAGGTGCTAGACTGCACGGAGCCCTTACATCCCTATGAGTACTTCGACACTCTGAAACAGTTCCTCCAGTATGATAGGAAGGTTTTGCGTTTCTTCTGCTTGTGGGACGACTCAGCCTCACTGTTCGGGGACCGTAGAGATCTTGTCCTGCACTATTTCTTGACTGATGATACTGTTGAAATCAAAGAAGTGATGCCACATAACTCAGGCCGGGATGCCATACCACTGTTCCTCCGGAGGAGTAAGTTACCCAAGGTGAGCGGTGAATACAGAACCACTTTCTGAGTTTGATTTTGGGCTGAGAGATCAAGTCACTGTGTGGAACATTGTGTGTTATGACTATGTGGTAACAGTTACCATATACTAGTGCAAATATTTAGAAAACTTTCATGTTTTGCTTTCTATTAACATGCATCTATGAAAGTAATACTGAGAATGTGATAAATTAGAGTTGGAACATTCTAAACTTAGGGCAAGTAAAGAAAAAAAAATGGATGAGAAAGTAACTATTCATCATTGAGTTCACAATCAGTCTTAGGAAATTAAATGACTCCCTAGTGAAAGAATTGCACATGGCCTTGAATGGGGCACTGGTGTGTGGTCCTTGTAATTTACCCAGGAGAGCCCAAGGTGTTGGTCTGGGTTGTGAATACACACACACACACACACACACACACACACACACACACACGTATGCATGCACTCACTATCATTACACTAGTTTGTGAACAGAAGTGATTCTTTTGAGTGTAGCAACTAGTCACCAACTAGCGGTGATAATGACTTTTACATTTTATTTACTATTAAAACAATTGTCAGCCGGGCTCGGTGGCTCAGCCTGTAATCCTGTACCTTTGGGAGGCTGAGGTGAGTGGATTGCCTGAGCCCGCGGGTTCGAGACCCGCCTGGGCAGCGAGACCTCATCTCTACAATAAATCAAAAAATCAGCCGGGCGTGGTAGCGCATGCCTGTAATTCCGGCTACTCAGAAGGCTGAGGTGGAAGGATCGCCAGAGCCCAGCAGGTGAGGCTGCGGTGGCCGGGAGCGGCCACTGCACTCCAGTCTGCGGGACAGAGTGAGACTCCAACTCAAAAAAAAACAATTGTCAGGCTTATTTCTACAAATATTTATGGCCATTTGAGAGCTAATGTAACTTGGGTGCCACAGAAAAAACACAGAGACAGAAGACTTGGATTAGAATTGCGCTGGGCACGGTGGCTCATGCCTGTAATCCCAGCACTTTGGGAGGCAGAGGCAAGAAGATTGCCTGAGCTCAGGGGTTTGAGACCAGCCTGGGAAACTTGGCAAGACCTTGTTTCTACAATAAATTTAAAAAATTTGCCAGGCATGGTGGTGCATGCCTTTGGTTCCAGCTACTTGGATGGCTGAGACAGAAGGGGTGCCTGAGCCCAGCAGGTCGAGGCTGCAGTGACCAGGAGTGTGCCACTGCACTCCAACCTGAGCGACAGAGTGAGATTTGTACTCAAAAAAAAAAAAAGCGAGTCTGCTCCTTATTAGCTATATGACCTTGGGCAAATCTCATAACCTCCCTGAGCTTAGTTTCTCATCTCTAAAATGTGATAATATAGTAAAAAAATGAAACACTACCTGAGGACCTGTAAACATCAGTAAATACACATAAAAACATGAAGGTTTTTTTCATCAGCTCTCTGTTATATTTTCTTTCTTTCTTTTTTCTTTTTTTTGAGTTGGAGTCTTACTCAGTCACCCAGACTGGAGTACAGTGGCCGCTTCCGGCCACCGCAGCCTCGCCTGCTGGGCTCCGGCGATCCTTCCGCCTCAGCCTTCCGAGTAGCCGGAATTACAGGCATGCGCTACCATGCCCAGCTGATTTTTTTTTCATTTATTGTAGAGATGAGGTCTCGCTGCCCAGGCGGGTCTCGAACCCGCGGGCTCAGGCAATCCACTCACCTCAGCCTCCCAAAGGCGCAGGATTATAGGCTGAGCCACCAAGCCCGGCTTATATTTTATTTCTTACTTGAATAAAGTAACTTTTAATTTAATTCTTAGTGCTCCTGAAAAGTTACTGTTAACACTCATTCTGGTACAAACAACTGCTGGCCTCACAGGAATCTTTCCCAGATTCTCTGAGCCCACTACCAAAAGCCCTGCTGTGTTGCTTGAAGGCAGAGGAGGCGGAATTTGTCCCAGAGGGAGCTTTGGGATATGCACAGTGGGCGACCAGGAGGTGCCAGAGAGACCTGCTTTTAGAATGGCTTTGAAAAATAGGCTAAATATACAATAATAGTGACATACCTAACCTTTGCAGTGTGACTTGACATCAATTACTTCATTTTACTCATTATTTCAGCAAGTTTTTTTTTTTTTTTTTTGAGTTGGAGTCTCACTTGGTCGCCCAGACTGGAGTGCAGTGGCCGCTCCCGGCCACCGCAGCCTTGACCTGCTGGGCTCCGGCAATCCTTGTGCTCAGCTTTCCACGTAGCTGGAACTACAGGCACACGCTACCACGCCCTGATAATTTTTTGATTTATTGTAGAGATGAGGTCTCGCCAAGTTGCCCAGGCGGGTCTCGAACCCGCGGCCTCAGGCAATTCACTCACCTTGGCCTCCCAAAGCATGGGATTACAGTTTGAGCCACTGAGCCTGGCCTCTACAATTATTTATTGAGTGTCAACTCTATGCCAGCTCTGGAGTTACAAGTGAGAAAGAGGATGGATTAAGTTCTACCCACACCTTGTTTTGGTTTTGTCTTCCAGTATGGCCCACCTGGAATCTATCAACCAGGCCAGATAACGGATCAAACAGTTCTTAATGTGTATGGTGGCTTGGGAGAGAACCGAGTGGATGGCTATCTGATGGATAAATACCAGGTGAGGTGCCTCATGTTTTATTACTCTTTTTAATGTGACTTCCCTGGAACCTCAACAATGGAATGAGTTACATAGTTCTTTCTTTTGAGGTTGTGGATTAAATTGATGAAAATACATAAATATACGCATTGTATTGCTACTTAATCAACAACAAACATGCTTAAATACATATATAAATACATGCATTGCATTGAATTTGCAAGCACTACAGTGCTCAAATAATGCTTTAAAATATTAATATCTAACTGGGCGTGGTAGCGCATGCCTATAGTTCCAGCTACTTGGAAGGCTGAGGTGGAAGAATCGCCAGAGCCCAGCAGGTCGAGCTTGCGGTGGCCGGGAGCGGCCACTGCACTCCAGTCTAGGCGACAGAGTGAGACTCCAACTAAAAAAAAAAAAATTAATGTCAACTGATTACCTTTTGATTTGATTTTAAAAATTTAGTTATAAATGATATGATTAAAGGTTTTTGTTTTTCTCTGGGAAGGGGTGTCTAGTTCTTTGGAAGGGTCATGGTGCTAATGCTGTGTTCCTTTGTTTTTATTAGCTGGGAAAATTAGATCAAGAGTTTTACAAAGATAGTGACCTGTCTGTAGGAATCACCATCAATGTTTGGGGAAGAAAAGTTCTCCTTTGCGATTGTGATGAATTTACGAAGTCTTATTATAAGTCTAAATATGGAGTTGGTAAGTTACATGTATGTCAATTGGAACATGTTTAAAAAGACTCTTTGTTCCTTAGTTGAGATTTTATTTTCTAATTTCAAATGCTAAGCTAATAATATCTATCATTTATTGTACATTTGCTGTCTTCCAGGTATTTGTTGTCTTATCTACTCCTAACAACAATTCTTTACAGGTAGGGTCATTATCTGCATTTTAGAGGTGAAGAAACCACTGCTTAAAAAGGGCGCATTAGTCCAAGGTCATGGAGTGAGCAAAGGGTGAGCCAAGATTTGAGCTTGTCTGCCTGATGCCAGGGTTTTCCATTTTCCCCTATGGTTCTCTGCCTCACTATAATTTGCGGTAAATGTTTTGACTGAGCAATTGAAATAAAAACCTTTCTCTTAATTCTTGCTTACCACAATGGATATACTTATATGAGTTCTTTAGAAAATTCTGTTCTGCCAATTTGCTGCACCTTTCCTGGTGAGGCTTAACCAGGTTTCCAGCTTTTCTCTTCTTAAATTTCAATGCCATTCCAATCAGGTTAGTTTAGTTCTGAATGAAAACCAGTGATTTATTAAGCACCTATTATATGTTGATCATCACAGTAGACTTAGGAGATACAGAGGTGTGTAAGAGGTTTCTAGGCTGGAAGGGAAGCTGAGACCTATACCTTGTAACATGGTATTATGTTAGTCCTGGAAACAGGCAAAGGACGTAATGTGAAACCTAAAACATAAACCTCATTTGTTAAACTCCCACTCACAGTCTTCTGAGAATCTGCCACCCAGCTCCTAGGCCCTCTGGCTGAGGCTCCAGGTACCGGCTGCTGGTGGTAGTTGATGAGAATTGCTGACCTCCCAGTTGGGACTTAGAGCTGGGGTGGGGGTTGCTTAGTCCTAGACTTCGCTCTGAACCTTGGTGTATTCATATGAACCCACTTCCCCAAAGGTTGGATGGAAGCCAGAAGCAACCAGCTTCTTTTTATTTTTTGTTTTTTGAGTCGGAGTCTCTCACTCAATCATCTAGGCTGGAGTGCAGTGGCACGTTCACGGCCACCGCAGCCTTAACCTGGTGGTCTCAGGCGATTCTTCTGTCTCAGCCTTCCAAGTAGTGGATCTACAGGTGCGTGCTACCATGCCCAACTAATTTTTTGATGTATTGTAGAGACAAGGTCTCACCAAGTTGCCCAGCCTGGTCTTGAACCCCCTGGGCTCAGGCAATCCTCTTGCCTCGGCCTCTCAAAGTGCTGGGATTATAGGTGTGATCCACTGTGCCCAGCCAACCACAGCTTCTTAAAAGACAAGGAAGGTGTTTTGCTTCTAGAATGAGACGAGGCTCACCTTATATGTCTTGCTGTCCTTATGGTGTAGTGTTCCCAGTCTCATGGGAATCTTTATATTGTGAGAGAAGGCACACGAAGAGGTTTGAGTAAAAAGACTTTCAGTTTCACTGTTAGGTTCATTAAGGAAATTTGTTCCACTGCATTGTATACCAAACTAGTGAAACTGTGTGGGCTCTACAGGAGCCAAATTGATGGTCTCTTCTTATTTTATTTTCTAAAATTAGTCCCCTTTTGTGGACACAGTTGGGCAAATTTATGCTGGGAACTGTGTACAAGGCAGCCAGGAATGTGTAGGTGGTAGCTGCTGTAAAGATGCTGCTTGTGGCCCTTAGACTGTTGGGGAGAAGAATTTGGCCTTTAATAAACGTGGATGCCTGTTTAGAATCAATAGAGATAGAGTTAGATATAGATATAGATGGGTCACAGAAAACCACATTTTACATCTGAAGATTACCTTAATGTGAAAGGTATGGTGAAGGTTCCAAAACATTATATAATTTCTTTTGCTTTTTTTTTTTTGAGTTAAGGTCTCATTCTGTCGCCCAGGCTGGAGTGCAGAGGCATGATCAAAGCTCACCACAGACTTGGCCTCCTGGGCTGAGGTGATCCATCTGCCTTAGCACTTCAAGTAACTCGAACTTTAGGTGCATGCCACCACACCAGGGTAATTTTTTTGACTTTTTGTAGAAGCGAGGTCTTGCTGTTTCCCAGGCTGGTCTCAAACTTCTAGGCTCAAGCAATTCTCCTGCCTTAGCCTCCCAGAATGCTGGGATTACAGACATGAGCCACTGCACCTGGCTGATTTCTTAAACATAAATCATAATGTTTGGTTGATATTTGTCTGTCTGTCTTTTTTTTTTTTTAAAGGAAACATTTTATTTATTTATTTATTTTGAGTTGGAGTCTCACTCTGTCGCCCAGCAGACTGGAGTGTAGTGGCTGCTCCCGGCCACCACAGCCTCAACCTGCTGGGCTCTGGCAATCCTTCCGCCTCAGCCTTCCAAATTGCTGGAATTACAGGTGCGTGCTACCACGTCTGGCTAATTTTTTTTGATTTATTGTAGAGATGAGGTCTCACCAAGTTGCCCAGGCAGATCTCAAACCCGCAGGCTCAGGCAATCCACTCACCTCAGCCTCCCAAGGCGCGGGATTACGGGCTGAGCCACCGAGCCCGGCTGATATTTGTCTTTCAACTTGATTTTGAGAAGATGAAAAGTTGCAATTGGGAAAATGAGTGTCCTAATGGAGAGAGAGAGACTTGGCACATTGTTAGTGTCTTAGAACCTTTTATAGAAAATTTTCCGAGACAGTGTGAATTTCTTGGTGTGCTCCAAATCTAGCTATTCTGGGTAAATGTATCAGCTTCAAATGTCCTATGGTCCATTGCAGTTGAGTCCTAGTATTTAATTTCTTTATGCTCACTTATTTTGTTCATTCTATCGACTCATTATATTAGGTAAAAAAAAGTAGTCTGTACCTTTAAAGCTAATATAGCCTGGCATTATGCATTTAAACAGTACATTATGCAAATGTAAAGTTATGATGCATTTCATAGTCACACTGACTTTTTATATTTCTCATAACATATGTTAAAGTATCCTGTTTAACAGACTATTATTACACAACATTTCTTGAGTTCTAACAGTGTACTTAATGTAACTAAAGATTAGAAATTATATCTATGATGGGGTGAGGGAGAAGTGAATCATTATTCTCTGATAATCTTTTTTTTTTTTTTTTTGAGTTGGAGTCTCACTCTGTCACTCAGACGGGAGTGCAGTGGCCACTCCCGGCCACCGCAGCCTCGACCTGCTGGGCTCCGGCGATCCTTCCGTCTCAGCCTTCCAAGTAGCTGAAACTACAGGCGCACGCTACCACGCCCGGCTAATTTTTGATTTATTGTAGAGATGAGGTCTCGCCAAGTTGCCCAGGCGGGTCTCAAACCCGCGGGCTCAGACAATCCACTCACCTCGGCCTCCCAAAGTGCTGGGATTACAGGCTGAGCCACTGAGTCCGGCCTCTGATAATCTTTACATTTTCTTTTCCTGATTTTTTGGATATGGTTAGATTAATATACTTAATGTTACTTAGATACAGTTATTTGTGGCCTCTTAATTTTGTTTATGATTCATCTGGTCCTAAAAATTTATAAGACTGACCAAAGTTTATGCATTATGTTTTGGTATCCTTAAAGCCTAAACCAGGATAGAGTCCTATCAATAATTGTGGTCTGTCCATAATTGTGGTTACATTTCCTTCCTTGTCTATAATCGTCAATGGAACGCCTGTCTCCACTGTGTACTACATAGGACAGAGCTGACAGGTACCAGAAACTCTTCTAGGGACCTCTCTAGCAGGAAGCCAGAGGAAGAGTTATTTAATTTGTTTGTTTTATTATTTTGAGTTAGAGTCTTTGTCGCCCAGGCTGGAGTGCAGTGGCACATTCATGACCGCCACAGCCTCAACCTGCTGGGCTCAGGTGATCCTTCTGCCTCAGTCTTCCAAGTAGCTGGAACTACAGGCAAGAGCCCCACCACACCTGGTTAATTTATTGATTTATTGTAGAGATGAGGTCTCGCCAAGTTGCCCAGGCTGGTCTTGACCCCTGGGCTCAGGCAATCCTCTCACCTTTGCCTCCCAAAGTGCTGGGATTACAGGTATGAGCCACCGCACCTGGCTTATTTTTATTTCTTTAGAGGCAGGGTCTCAACTCTGTCACCCAGTCTAGAGTACAGTGGTATGATTGTAGCTCCCTACAGCCTTCCTGGGCTCAAGGGATCCTCCCATGTCAGCCTCTCAAGTAACTAGGACTATAGGCAGGTGCCATCATGCCTGGCTAATTTTTTAAAAAACTTGGAGAGATGGGGGTCTCGTTGTGTTGCCTATTGTCTTGAATGCCTAGCCTCAAACAATCCTCTTGCCTTGGTGTCCTGAAGTGCTGGGATTACAGGTGTGAGCCATTGTGCTGGCCAAGGGGGAAATTTCTAATGTAGTGTGTAGCTTTGGTGCTTTAGTACCTTCTCTTATCCAATGACATCCCAATATATTTTGAGGGAGAAAAATCGCAAAGAGAAGGTATTGGCTACAGTCCCAAGAAAGGTGCGTTGATAACCTTTCTATTTATGTAGAAGCAGAGGACTTGATAGAATTCCAAGAGACATTTGAGCCTTTGTGTAAAACCCAATCTGACTCTTAAAAAGATGAGATTCTGTCATGGTATTTAAGGATTCTAAGGAGAAGGCGATTCTATAGATTTCTTCCATTTAACAGTGCAGTGTGACCCCACCATCAGGCAGCTTTGCCATCCTGCTGGCCTTGGCTCGCCTGCTGGGCTGTAACATGTCACTCCCTCATTATTTCATGTGAATGAACAAGGACTGGCAGATGGAGGTCTGTCGATCTTCCCTATAGCATGAAGGTTGGAAAAGGCTTCAGGGGCTCCAGCTTGTGTTTCTTTCACTAAAGGGACAGAGATTTGAATGTAAACTGTTCTTACCTAGAAATTTCTGCCTTGGGTTATTATTTCTTTGTCTATAAGAGGACTTTCTTTCTTTCTTTTTTTTTTTGAGTCTCACTCTGTCGCCCAGACTGGAGTGCAGTGGCTGCTCCCGGCCACTGCAGCCTGGACCTGCTGGACTCCGGCAATCCTTCCGCCTCAGCCTTCCAAGTAGCTGGAACTACAGGCGTGCATTACCCCGCCCGGCTGATTTTTGATTTATGGTAGATATGAGGTCTCGCCAAGTTGCCCAGGCGGGTCTCGAACTCGCGGGCTCAGGCAATCCACTAACCTCAGCCTCCCAAGGTGCGAGATTACAGGCTGAGCCACTGAGTCTGGCTAAGACTTTCTTGTTGATTCTTAGTGGCTGGGACAACCAAACTAGTGAGGATTGTTCATTCCCATTGCTTTTGAACACTTATTAAGCTATATTGAAATTAAAGCACCTTACATTTTGTGTAGTCATTTCTGGCCATCTCTGAACTTTTGGTGCTGGAATCAGCAGGACATCCAGGATAAGAGTTGAATGATCATTTGAGCAAACTGGCTACTCTAATTGGCAGCAAAGGGATAGAATTGGTTACTGGTCTCACCACATGGCCTTGATGGACCTAACAAATTTTGCTTCTAGTTTAGGATTAGAGAATTCCTAAGGATTTTGTAGCTCTAACATGATATGATTAACTAATTTCAGTTTCACTGAAATCATTTGACCAGGGTATTGAGTACAAGCAGAGATGGATTTATTGTGAAGTTCATGAAGCGTAATTTTTTTTTTTTGAGTTGGAGTCTCACTCTGTCACCCAGACTGGAGTGCAGTGTCCGCTCCCGGCCACCACAGCCTCGACCTGCTGGGCTCCGGCGATCCTTCCGCCTCAGTCTTCCGAATAGCCGGAATTACAGGCATGCGCTACCACGCCCGGCTGATTTTTTGATTTATTATAGAGATGAGGTCTCGCTGTCCAGGCGAGTCTCGAACCGCAGGCTCAGGCAATCCACTCACCTCAGCCTCCCAAAGGCGCGGGATTACAGGCTGAGCCACCGAGCCCAGCTGAAGCTTAATTTTTTTAGCATTCTTCCTTTGCAGGGGCCCCAGTTCAAGGTCCCAGCCTAATTTTGTATAATAATTTGGCATTGTTTGTCTGGAACAGCTTCACTCAAATTATATGTAAGCTTCTAGCCTCCCAAAATTTGGATCTGTCTCTAGGCTACTAGAACATAAGAGATGAACTTTGAGATAATTGAAGGCTTTTTCCAGTAGTCCTCCCAACTGAGACAGTGAATATAAAATCACCAACAAGGTAAATTAAGACTCCTTTTAAAGACATATCTTCTCTCGACCAGTTGTTGGAATTTAATCAGTCATGAGTAGGTATTCAATATATATATATATGTTTTTACAAGTCACTTGGAATTAGAGGAAGGAGACGATTTGAAAGACAGATATATCTTAGGATCTAGCAGAGCATCAGTTGAAGAAGACATTTGGGAAGATGCTTTGTATAAAGGTATTTACTTTTCATTTGTCAATGAATATTTTTGAACACCTAAAATGGATGCTAAGATGATGGAAAACCAAAGTCAGTAACTTGTCATTTAGGTGGGAATCGAAAGCTTTGAGACTGTTTGCAAATTACCCAGAGAAATGTGATTTCAAGTTGGATCTTGAGTCAGAGTTTCCAAAGAGATGGATGTGGTGTTATAAAAGTCAGGCATGATTGTGTGGAACAGTTCTCAGCTTTTATACACTAGATGGCACTGTGGGTGCAGAAGAAAGCTGTAAATTGGTCCTTTTGTTACTTAAATCTGTTGCAAAAATTATGTGGTTGAGAAAACAACACTGTGTTATAAACCTTGTAATTTTGAGAAGTATAGAATGCATTCTTAATTACTTTGTGATTTAATTTGTGTCCTCTTTTGTTAGACTGTTCAGATTGGTGTATAGGGTTGTATGTATATGTACCCTCTTATAAGAAAGTACTTGGGCCCCAATTTTCTAATAATCACATAGAGTTCTCCTACCATGGCTCTGGTACTCTCTCTGAAATGAAGGTACCAAACAGTGATGTGTTCACTATAAAATTTAGCAATGATAAAGTTTGCAATTCTGCCTAATTTCAAGATATGAACATTCTTCTTTATTTCCAAGACTCTTCTTTAATCACCACAAAAATAGCAATAGAAGAAGCTCACAAGTCACTTCTGTACTAGTAGTCTGGCTATCATACCCTTTTACCGAGTCAGTGAGAAATATCTGATGGCGTTCTGTTTGTCAACATGTCTGCTGTGAGCAGTTTCTGTTAGGATGGAACAGTATTCTTTTGGGTATTATGCTTGGGGAAATTTCGCACGAAGGCTGCTAGGAAGTTTATGGAAATATGAAAGCAGAAAATGTTTTCAAATCAATCAGAAAGGGCCTGAAACCCTTAGCCTTTTGATCAATCAGTAAACAAAACAAAACAAACAAACTACCTCAATGTTAAGAGTTAGGTTGTCTTCGATGACAAATTGATGCACATTTTCTCTTTTGGAGGTGTGCACTAAAATTTGTACTCTTCCTTCCATTAGAATGTTGACAACGAAAAAGGAAGTATTTGCTTATATAGAACTTCTTTCATTCACGAATGGAAACTCAAGCTTAGGGAAGTAGTAGGAAGTGGATTCTATGGGGGTTTGTTTTGTTTTGTCTTGTTTTAGGAAAGATACTGGCATCATTGCTATTTGTGTTGGGGACAAACACAGTGGCTTGAATAGATCAGGTCAATATGTTATTTGCTCTGGAAAGCACAGTTGCTTCTCAGACATTGCACAGCCTCACGAATGAGTGTCTAAAAACTCCTAGGCTATTACAAATATGTCCCCAGCTCTCTCTCCACCTCTACTTCCTCACAGATGATAAATCGATACATAAAATCAACAGTATTTACCACTTAGCACTGTCTTTGAGAGACTAGGCAGTTGGATCCTTTGAAAACTTTTTTTTTTTCTTTCTTTGTTTGCTTCCTTGCATTTGTGTACAGTTGCAGTCTTTTTTTGGGCAGTAACAAGAGTAACCTGGGGCAGTGGCTGGTGAGGAAAAGGAAGTTTCGTTCTAGTGTTTATTTTTGAAGGAGATAGTGAAGTGCCATGACCTGGAGTTGAGTTGGAGGCAAGGGAGAGTGCTCAAAAAGTTGGTGTATTAGGAAGAGATGGCAGATGAGGAAGGGTAAAGGTGAATAGTCAGGAGTCAGTTTTGTTTGGAAAAGAATTTTATTTGTGAGTGTTGACTGAGATAGGAGAGGGCTAAATTATGGGTTAAAATATGGAACGGGTGGCATAAAGTTTCAAGTTTGAATTTTCATATTATTGGAAAAATGAGAGAAGAACAAAAAATATTCAGAAGTGGGGATGTGATGACAAAAGATAAATGTTTACTTATTTGACATAGACAGATTTTGTTTTTTCTTTTGAACCAATGGCGATTATTAAGTGAGTTCTGTGGTTTTTGTAAACATGATTGAAAGCTACTCTCATAGGATTTGCTGTGTTTTGTTTGAAAGAGTTTAAAATAGTCTACAAAGGTCTCCATGTTCATCTTGAAAACATAACAAACCTTTCAAAACAGCCCTAATCAGAGCAAAGAAAAAATATTGATTTTTTTTTGCCTTTGTTTTGTTATAGAGAACTTTACCTCGATTCCATATAAGCTTCCTCCTCCTCCAAAAATAGAAAGGAAATTTCCACCTTATACTGGCTTTGGTTCTGAAGAGGATTCTCTCCGTTCCTGCATAACCCTCAAGCCTACACCTTATCGGAAGAACTTCAAGAAATTCATGGAAAAAGACAGGTACTTGAGGGAACTATGATTAGTTCAGTCTTTCCCAGCTCATCGAATTTCAAGTCCAAGGAGACATTATTATAACTTTTTAATGAAGTTGATTAACATGCACATATTAACAGATTCTTGCTTGAGTGCTTATTTTAATAAATGTCATCTAGAGGCCTCTAAAGTTATATTATCCCCAATCTATGTTGCCTTTCTGTATTTATCTATCTGTCTGTCTGTCTGCCTCCTGAAGATGGTCCCTAGGAAAAGATGTAGAGTAGGGGTCAGCAAGCTTTTTCTTAAAGGGTCAGATAGTAAATTTTTTTGGCTTTGTGGGCCATACGGTGTCTGTCACAATCACTCAGATCTGCCGTTGTAGCGTGAAAGCAGCCACAGACAGAATGTAAACAAATTTGTGACTGTGTTCCATTAAAACTTTTTTTTATGGACCACTGATATTTGAATTTCATGTAATTTTTACATATCACGAAATATTCTTACTTTGATAATTTTTCAACCTTTTAAGCATGTAAAAACCATTCTTAGCTCAAAGGTCATACAAAAACAGGTGGCCTGCTGGATTTAGCCCACCGACGGGTGGTTTAACAACCCCTGCTATAGAGATTTCAGTGATTTGTAAGTGTTTTTCAAAATGCTGTTTGGCAATTTATGTTACTGTTTTCACTTGAGAGTTTGATTGAGGTCAGTAACCATAGATTTCTCATGTGACTGAATATAATTTTAAATGATGGACTTTCAAAAGTATGTCTAATATACATGAGGAAAAATCTGTATAGAGTGTGGGCATAGCCCATGGCTACCTTTTGCTTCTGCAGGGAGAGCAAACCCTAGAGAAAGGGTGCTTGAATAGGATACAGGCTAAAAATTGCATTTTTTAGCCTTGATGAGGGAAGTAATGGATGAGGAGATCTTGGGAGGAAAAAAATGATGAAGGGAACATGTAGTAAGACGAGAAGAAGACAAAAAAATAACATCCTGAATTTGATACAATCGATTGGGATCAGATGCTGTTGTAGAATATTTTGAAGGAGAGGGAATAATAATTCTGTTATATTTGTAAAAATCTATTTTTTTTTTTTTTGAGTTGGAGTCTCACTCTGTCGCACAGACTGGAGTGCAGTGGCCACTCCCGGCCACTGCAGCCTCGACCTGCTGGGCTCCGGCAATCCTTCCGCCTTAGCCTTCCAAGTAGCTGGAACTGCAGGCGCGCGCTACCACGCCTGGCTGATTTTTTGATTTATTGTAGAGATGAGGTCTCGCCAAGTTGCCCAGGCGGGTCTCGAACCTGTGGGCTCAGGCAATCCACTCACCTCAGCCTCCCAAAGTGCAGGATTACAGGCTGAGCCATTAAGCCTGGCTTAAAAATCTATTATTAAGAATTGTATAGACTGTCTGGAAGTCTGCCATTGGCATGACATGATGTCCTTTGAATTTCAAGAAATAATCCTTAATTTTTAAAAACTTTAATGTTTTATTTTTAAGTTTTATAACTGATGCCACTTAAAGTGTGGTCCCTGTACTTAGACATGCTAATTCTTTTGCCTCTCCCAGACCCACTGAGACAGAAGCTCTGGGGGAAGACCCCAGCACTCTGCGTTTTCTCAAGCTCTCCACCAGATTCGAAGACACACCAGTGTTTGAGAACCACTGATTTTGATCACATAAGGAGGACACCTATTTATACTCTATCCTCCTTTATTGAGAATGGTGTTGTCAGTGAAGTTCCAGGGTAGGACTTTTGATGCACACTTTTTGTTAACTGTTGTTTTTAAGGACAGCCACCCGAAGGAGGTGGAAAGGAAGAATGTCCCTATTGTAAAAGGAGAGGGAATTTTTCTTGTAAGTAAACAAGATGAAATACTACCCAGGGTGTTGCTCCTGGAACCCAGGGGAAAACAGCTCTTTGTGGGTAGTTGACTTAGTCTCTCTTTCAGTCTACACTGTGTAAACTTGCCCACAGAACATTGACTGTAGACAGCATTCCATGTTCTTGTCATGCTGTTCTGACTGGAAGATGGTCTTATAAGCACAAATGGTCTCTCATTTCATTCTTTCTGTCCACTGCTTGTTCTGTGCCAGGAATACATTTTCCTCAAGCTCCTCCCACACAGTGACGATGTTTCCATAGTAACTAGCACATTCAGCAGGAGACTTATACATGAGTTTGAATAACCCAAGATTTTAAAACTGTGAGAACCTAAAGAAGATGATCTCACAAAACATATAAAGAATAGTTTTTAATACAGATAAGGAAACTGAATTGAGACACAAAATTGTATGACATGTTGATTATACATATTATTTTAAAATGTACTGGATGCCATTGTTGTTTCTGAGATTAATGCTGATCTACTGTGAGTTGTTGGAGGAAATCATTTCACTTAAAGCATACGAGGCTTTTGATGGACATGAAGATCTTTATTGTCTGAATAAACATCACAGTGGTGGCCTGCTGGGAAGATTGTCTAACTGAATCGGGAGAACTAGCATAATATCTTACTTGCTGCATCAGGCTGAAATAGTTACTTTGTTCTTTGCATGCCCACAATAGTCTGCTGATCATGTCTCTAATAATGATATCACTGCTTCTAATAAGCAATTAGTGGTTACTGTGTGCTAACTGCTTCACATGAGGAAACAGAGACTCAGAGAGGCTATGCAACTTGCCCAAGCTGACACAGTTCATTTTAGTTGAACTAGTTGAACTAATTGAACTAGTTGAACTAGTTTTAATTGAACTAGTTGAACCAGGGAGATCTGACTTCTGAAGTTCACCTTTTTTCCCCACAAAATCTGTACTTATTGCAGAACATGGTAATTACTTGTTTATGTAATTCGTGAGCTCCTCCTCGATCAAAAGCTCTTTGAAGGCAGGGACTGACTTTATTGCTTCCCTAAGAGTTAGAATGGTGTTGGCTACATACTGGTGGCTTAATAAATATTTTTGTCTAATAAGAGAAAGAGTGGGTGAGTAAATGAGTAAATAGAATAAATATTCACTCATCTAGTTATTAATCATGGATAGAAGAGACAGCTGACTTCCCGTCAGGAAAGCTATTATCCCAGACTTGTGCTGTTCATAACCACACAGAATCCACAAATTCATGGTTTAATCTTTTTTTTTTTTTTTGAGTTGGAGTCTCACTCCTTCACCCAGGCTGGAGTGTAGTAGTGGCATGCAAGCTCACGGCCACTCCGGCATTGACCTGCTGGGCTCTGGCAATCCTTCCACCTCAGCCTTCTGAGTAGCTGGAACTGCAGACATGCGCTACCATGTTTTTATTTTATTGAAGAGACGAGGTCTCACCAAGTTGTCTGGGCTTGTCTCGAACCCGCAGGCTCAGGCAATCCACTCACCTTGGCCTCCTAAAGTTCTGAGATTACGGGCTGAGCCACTGAGCCTGGCCATGGTTTAATCTTAATCTCTGACTTGTTTCAGATCATCCACCTGCTGTACCTGTCAGTCATTTTTTTCCCTCTTTAAAAGTTTTTTTCCCCCATCAATAAAAACAAGCCTTCATGTATCTTCCAACCACAAGACTCTGTAGCTCTAGCTATTTTTGAAGTTTATAGTAGGTATATAGCCCTGGGTAAGCCATTCATTTTCTTTTTCTTTTTCTTTTTTTGAGCTGGAATCTCATTCTGTCGCCCAGGCTGAAGTGCAGTGGCACACTTATGGCCACCCCAGCGATCCTTGCGCCTCAGCCTTCCAAGTAGCTGGAACTACAGGTGCGTGCCACCACACCTGGCTAATTTTTTGATTTATTGTTGAGATGAGGTCTTGCCAAGTTGCCCAGGTTGTTCTCGAGCCTGTGGGCTCAGGCAATCCCCTCACCTCGGCCTCCCAAAGTGCTGGGATTACAGGCTTGAGCTACCATGCCTGACCTGTTCATTTTCTTAGTGAACAAATATTTTCTGAATCACTGCTGTTTGCCAAACACTAATCTAGGTGCTTGGGATATATCAGTAAGTAAAAAAGACCCAAACTCTGTCCCCGCAGAGCTTATATGTTCTAGTTGTGGGAGGTAGACAATAAATGGTAAAGGTCATGCATAAGTAAATTAAATAGTATTTAGAAGGTGTTAATTACCATAAAAACAAGGAAAGTGTTAAGTTACAATGAAAAGAATAAAAGGAACTGGGAATATGGGGCTGAGGAACACCCCTGGTTGCAACTTACTGTAGTGTGGTCAAGGTAGACCTTATTCAGGAGAGGAAATATGCTCCAAGCAGAAGGTACAGTCAGAGGAAAGGCTCTGAGTGAGAAGCATACTTGGGATGTGCAAGAAACACCCAGGAGGGTGATGTGGATAGAGTAGATGAGTAAAGGGCAGAGCACATAGAGATGAGGTAAGAGGGAATAAGGGATCAGATCACATATGGCCTTGTTTAAGGATACTTTTGACTTTGAATGATAAGGAGGCCATTGGGAGATTTGAGCAGAAAAGTGACTTGAGCAGATTTACATATTAAAAGAATCACTCTAGTGAAATGTTGAGAGTGTACTATAAATAGGTAATGGTGGAAGGAAAGACCAGTTAAGAAGTTATCCCTCTTTGCAGGCGACATGATTCTATACCTCAAAAACCCAAGGAAATCTGTCAGAAGCCTCTTTGCACTAACTTTGGAAAAGTCTCAGGGTATAAACTAAATGTGCAAGTCAGTTGCATTCCTATACACCAACAATGAACAAACAGAAACCCCAATAAAAAGCACAATCCCATTCATAATAGCCACACACACAAAAAAGAAATACCTTGGCATCTTCCTAACCAGAGAAGTCAAAGACCTTTACGATGAAAACTATAAAACACTGCTCAAAGAAATCAAAGATGACACAAACAAGTGGAAAAGTATTCCATGCTCATGGATTGGAAGAATTGACATTGTTAAGATGTCCATCCTAACCAAGGCAGTCTACAGATTTTACATAATACCCATTAAATTACCAGCAGCATTCTTCTCAGACCTGGAAACGACAAAGCAGGAATTCATATGGAAAAACGACCACAGATAGCCAAAACAATCCTCAGCAAAAACAAAACAAAACAAAACAAAAAAACAAAGCGGGAGACATCATACTTCCAGACTTTAAGCTTTATTATAAAGCTACAATAATCAAAACAACCTGGTATTGGTACAAGAACAGGCATATAGACCAATGGAAGAGGATAGAGATTCCAGAAGCAAAACCTCAATTTCTCAACCAATTCATCTTTGACAAAGCCTCCACCATCAACCACTGGGGAGAGGAGAACATATTCAGTAAATGGTGCTGGGAAAACTGGCTGACCACATGCAGAAGATTGAAACAAGACCCCTACCTATCACCATACACAAAAATCAACTGTGAATGAAATGAATCAAAGACCTAAATGTAAAACCTCAAATTGAAATACCATTAGAAAACTCAGGAAACACCCTTATGGAAATTGGAACTGGCAACCAATTCTTGATCAAAACCAGCAAGAGCCCATGCCATAAGAGATAAGATAGACAATGTGACCTCATCAAACCGACAAGCTTCTGCAAAGCCAAAGAAACCACTGAGAGAGCGGGGATACAACCCACAGACTGGGAAAAAATATTTGCCTTCTGTTTATCTGACAAAGGCCTAACATCTAGGATCCACAGGGAACTCAAATGTGCCAAAAAGAAAAAAACAAACAGCCCCATTACAAAGTAGGCAAAAGATATGAATAGACACTTCTCAAAAGAAGACACACGAGCAGCCAACAGATACATGAAAAAATGCTCAACCTCACTAGTCATCAAAGAAATGCAAATTAAAACTACACTGAGATACCACCTAACTCCAGTCAGGATGGCCATCATCAATAACTCAAAAACAGCTGCTGGTGAAGATGCAGAGAAAAGGGAAAACTTCTACATTGTTGGTAGGAGTGTAAACTAGTACTGCCTCTGTGGAAAACAGTGTGGCGATGCCTAAAAGATCTGACCCCGTAATCCCCCTACTGGGAATTTGCCCAGAGGAACTCAAATCACTATGAAAAAGATAACTGCACACGCATGTTTATTGCAGCATTATTTATAATAGCAAAAATGTGGAACCAACTGTACTGCCCACTGAAAGAGGACTGGATTTAAAAAATGTGGTATGTATACATGATGGAATATTATCAGTCATAAAGAAGGACAAAATTATGAACTTCGCAGCAACGTGAATGGACTTAGAGACTATAATACTGAGTGATTTATCACAGAAACAAAGAACCGAGTATCACATGTTCTCACTCATAAGCTGTCCTTGAACTATAATAATACTATAACTAAAAAAAAGGGATTGGCAGTAGTGGGAAACTGCCAGGGGAGGGCGGGGGCGCGATTGGCAGTAGTGGGAAACTGCTAGGGGAGGGAGGGACACACCTCATCAGCAAGGGTACCTGCATAATGAACATTTGTATACCTAACCCTGAATTGTACCCCACATCTTTAAAATTAAAAATTAAAATACAGACAGACAAAACTGCTGCAGTTGTCCAAGAGAAAGTGACTCAGATCTGGGTGAGTGCATTGGAAGGGATGAGATTAAACAGCAGATTCTGGAAATATTTTGAAGGCAGGGCCAGTAGAATTTCCTAACAGATTGGATATCAGGTATGAAAGAATTAAGGAACTAAGGGTGAAGATTCTCAGTGTTTTGACCTAAGTAAATGGAAAGATGGAGTTGGCATCTACTGAGATGAGAATGACTGTAGAAAGAGTAGGTTTGGGGGTAAGAGCAGACATTCAGCTCTAGAACAAGTTAAGTTTGGGATGTCTATCAGATATTAAGTGGAGATACTGTATAGGCAGTTGGATATATGTGTGAGTATGGGGTTCAGGAGAGAGAGGACTGAGCTAGAGATATAAATTTGAAAGCTATCAGCATTTAGATGGTATTTAAAGCCATAATGCCAACTTGTATTAAAGCCTTGAACTGGATGAGATCACTAAGGAAGTAATTGCATAGAGATGAACATGACCAAGGAATACCCTGAAACACCTCAAATTAAGAGGTTGGGGAAAAGAGAACTAGCAAAAGACTAAAATGGAGCAAACAAGGAGATAGGAGCAAAACCAAGAGAATTCAGGACCCCGGAAGCCAAGTGAAACAGGATTATCACAGAAGAAGGAGTGATCATTTGTGCCAATTGCTGCTGATTGGTCAAGTTACATGTGGACAAAAAAATTAAGCATTTGAATTGACATTGTGGAGATCATTGTTGATCTTTACAAGAGCAGTTTAGGTAGAGCAAACCTAATGGGAGTGGATTTAGGAGAAAATGGGAGAAGAATTCAAGGCAGTGATTTTTTTTTTCTTTTTTTTGAGTTGGAGTCTCACTCTGTTGCCCAGACTGGCGTGCAGTGGTCACTCCCGGCCACCGCAGCCTCGACCTGCTGGGCTCCAGCGATCCTTCTGCCTCAGCTGGAACTACAGGCTTGTGTTACCATGCCCGGCTAATTTTTGATTTATTGTAGAGATGAGATCTCACCGCGTTGCCCAGGCGAGTCTCGAACCCGTGGGCTCAGGCAATTCACTCACCTTGGCTTCCCAAGGCGCGGGATTACAGGCTGAGTCACCAAGCCCAGCCTCAAGGCAGTGATTATAGATGACTCTAGGCTGTGTGTTGAAAAAGTTAAGACATGGCTCCTAGACCTAGAAATTTATAATTTGTTTTCGGGCAATGGGAATAAACACATTGTGAAAAAAGCCAGCCAGGAGTACAAGTCTATATAGTACTAAATTGGGTGCAACATTATGGTTGGTGCTGAAGGTATAAGTAAGTGGTCAGCTTGGAGGGTGAAGTATAAAAAGTATATTCAAGAAGTTTAATAATGAGTCAAGGAAATATCTGAAGATAACTTGCAGTGCTTCTCAAAGTGTGCCCTGGGAACGACCGTATCAGAATCTCCTGGGGTGCTTATTAATAATGCAGGTTTCTGGAGATGCAGGCTAACTACTGAGTCCATATCTCTAGGGGTAGGAATCTGGATTCTGTATATTTAACAAACTCCCCAGGTGACTTATACACAATAAATCTGTGAACTGCTGGTCTAAATATTTTATTGAGTAGATTATGTTCCTGATTGATATCTCCAGAACACTAGAATTAGCTGTAAAAGGTTGCATATTGAACATGTAACAGACCCACGCTTAACATATACACAAATTTATGTAAGTTGTAAGAAGTTACATTTTCAATAATGTGAATTTTCCCTGAGGTTAGATCTCATTCAGTTATTTCAGTGATATTTCAGGCATTGGCAATGTTATGGGTCCTTCATGAGAGGGGGCTACTGAACCTATTTGCTACTTATACATTTAATTATGAAGATGGTTGACAAGGTATAGATGCCTCCAGTGCTGGATGAGGCCCGTCTATAGCCTGAGAACATGGTGACCTGGCTGTTTTGCCAGGACTGTTCTGGGGGCAGCCCTCCGAACTGCTACACTCTGTTTCACCAAGCCTCAAGCCTTGGAATCTTGGTGTCAGCCTTTTACAGCCCCTCTTTTTGGACAGTCTGAGAAAGGGACAGAAAAAAATCATTTTCTGCTTCTGCAGATCAGAAACACTTTGTTTCTTTATCACTGTGAACAACACAAGGAAAGAATGAATTTCATCATAGGAGAGTCTGCAAGGGAAGACCTCTCTGCTTAAGAGTTGTGATAGGGAAGCGATTAAAGACAGTTTATTTTCCTTTGTGCCTCCTTGGGGTAATGATTTTTGTTACAGTGATCTCCCCAAGAGTTTACTGTTTATCCTGAAGTCCACCTTTCACTAGCTGATGTCCATAGACATGCTTCTGCTTACAGATCACAAATTAATTTCTTTGGTGACCAGGCAATCAACTTTGGGAACTTTTAATTCTAGAATTTGACCCCTTATTCAACCTACTAGACTGTTATTCTCTTTATGCATAATATTCCAAGTATAAGTTCTAACCTCTATGGATCTTATAACAACTTTCTACGAACGTTTATTGAGTACTTACAAGGTTAAAAGTATTATATTAAATAATGATAAGCAAGACATAGTCCTTGTCCTTGGAAAACAGACTTGTAATGGCTACTTATGATGTGAGTGGTAAACACTATTTTTAAAAAAGGCAGGTCTATAAATTTTATTACAGCATTTGAAAGGGAAAAGTTAATTTTTCACTGAAGGAACTTGGAAGGATGCTGGGGAGCTGGAGGAGTGAGTCAGGAAGAGGAGCGTGTGGGCTGGAAGACAGAGAAGCAATGGGCATGAGATGGTGGCTGGTGAACCAGGGAGGTTGCCCCAGGCATGGGTAGAGCATGCCCTCTGGTTTGCTTGAGCAGCAGGGCCAGGTGCTTATGCTTCTTTCTAACATTGTTATTGTGATCATTGATCAGCCTTGTCATTAGAGAACAACCAGCTAATCAGCTGGTTTGATCAGTATGTTTATGGTATTTGTTTTGGGGATATTTTCCCAATGTGTTACCCAGGACATGTAAAGAATCAGAGATAAAATATACTGAGAAAATTTCTCTGCATTTAGATTGAGAATCTTAATTAGAAAATGACTGGACTTTCACTTTGGAGAGTTTATGCTACTATATTAAAGCCATAGCATAACTTTTGCAGGCTTTTTGAAACATATGTAATGTGTGGAAGATTACTTGTATAATGCTGTAACCCTCATTTCTCTTCCATTTAGCTATGGCAACATAAGCAATACACTCCGGTTTTTTGCAAGACTAGTCACAGACAAATACGCTGATGTGGACAGGATGTTTGTTATTTCATATTTTCTCAGTGATGACACAATTTCAGTGTTTGAACCTATAGAGCACAATTCAGGTAAGAGACTTCTCATAGTGTTTTTCTTCAGAACATATAACTTTCTCTTCATTTTGAAAATTAGGGAATATGATCTGATTTTGTAGCATAGATGATCTATGATAGTGGCTTAAAAAAAAAGCCAATAAAGTTCTTTTTACAAACCTCTTAAATGGGAACTCAAAACACATAAAATGATTTCACTCATAAGCGGACCTTGAACATTTACCATAATACTGTAAGGAAGGGATTGGCAGTATCCAGAAACTGCTGGGGGGTGGGGGCACATAACATTAATAAGGGTACCTTATCTCAAACCAGGAAAAGTGGGTACCAAAGGTAGTCCCAAACTTTACCTGTACAATGGCCACTTGTATACTTAATCTGGGATTGTGCCCAACATCTTTAAAATAAAATACATAAAAAAAAAAAGTAAAATGATAGAAGAAAACCAATTTTGATTGGCTGAGAACTGGGAAGCCCGGTACCTCCTTTTTGCCACTATTCCCTCTTCCTTTGTGGTCTCTGAAGCATTTCAGTGGAATCCAAGGACTTCAAAATCATGGCCTGGGTACCACCGATTTCACTCACAGCAATCTAAGGGGAAGTCTGTATTCTTGATAGTCCTGCTTAAAAATTTTTGCTTAACTCTAAGACAAGATTCACAGATACACAAATTCAGTCTTTAGAGATCATCTTTCTCTGACCCTTCTCAGGCTGCTGCCAAGGTTCCAGCACCTAGGCCCATGGAATGCCTTTCTGCAGTGTGCTGATGCCATGGCCTGCTGAGGGGAACCATTGACTTACCAAATCATAGAACTGTAGGATTCTGTTCTTTGTCTCAAAATGTTTAAAACTTTTGTCTGTGTCAAAGGTATACATTTGGGAAGAATAATCAGTGAAATGCTGGTTAACCAGCTGTTTGAAAAGATTTTAAAAGCTCTGATTTGTACTGTTTGCTAGTTTTCATGAAATGAATACCTTAACCATGGTCAATTTCAAGCAGCTGAAAGTTTAAAATCTGGCTTACAAAATCTCTGAATATTTAACTGTTAGCTCCTATAAGCTTGTGTGAGCCACTTAACACACAATGAATAACTTGTGTTAACTAAGTCAGGCTCTGCAGTGACTTGAATACTATATCAGATCTTAAAATGTGAAATTGAATAGGAATGAATGTGTCATGTTCTTACAGGTCAGAAAAATCAACTCTATACTAATCTAGAATGGAGAATACATACCCAAGTGAATTTCAGCATGTGTGAAACAGAAAGAGTTATTGTAGTGAACTACAAGCCTATTAGTAATAATAGCAGCCATGATTGAGAACCTACTGCTTTCCTTACAAGAACTTTATGAGGTTAAGTTTCGTGTTAGTCCAATTTCTTCAAGAAGCAAACACTGAGATGGGATTAAATGTGCAAGAGACTTATTAGCAGAAATACTGGTGAGGGAAAATATGGAAGGAGTCAGAGGAGACTGGGAGAGCCATCAAACTGAAGTGCAGGTCTGACTCCTGTGAAGAACGGAGGGAAGGAAGAAAGGGGGAATCTCATGTTGAGATGAAATTCTAAGAAAGTTTCAACAAGGCTGATCGGGAGTCCTTGAGGAAAAAGTGCTAGTTGGAGGAGCCTTGTTTTGCAGGCGTAGGCCTGTCTTAGTATCCTTGCCTTGCTCAGTCATCTGTTGGCAACAGCCTGTGAGAAGCATGACCTCAGCACACATCCAAGGATGGATTTAAGACAACAGCAGTTGAAGCCTTCCATCAGTTATGTTCCCCATCATAGTCAGTCCGAGAGGTGCATTTTCATTGCCCTCACAATTTTTTTTTTTGAGTTGGAGTCTCACTCTGTTGCCCAGACTGGAGTGCAGTGGCCGCTCCCAGCCACCGCAGCCTCGACCTGCTGGGCTCCGGCGATCCTTCCGCCTCAGCCTTCCGAGTAGCTGAAACTACAGGCGTGCACTACCACATCCGGCTAATTTTTATTGTAGAGATGAGGTCTCGCCTGCCCAGGCGGGTCTCGAACCCGCGGGCTCAGGCAGTCCATTCATCTCAGCCTCCCAAAGGCGCGGGATTACAGGCTGAGCCACCGAGCCCGGCTTGCCCTCACAATTTTTATTTCTATTTTAACCAGTAAGAATTCACAGACATTCATAGAGATTAAATAATTTCTAAAGATCATCCAGCAAGCGTCAGAGCCTGGATGGAATACAGCTCTATTTGGCTCTGAAGCTTGTGTCTTTCCACCCCTTATGGTTTCTGAATGTGGTAGGGAGGGGTGGGATGCAGCTGACCAAAAAGCTCATCTGGTCTCAGACTTCATTCATAGCTCTGTGGATTTCAGTTCAACATCAAAAGATATTGGAGCCCCCCTGTTCAAGTTTACTGGCTGCTTTCCAAGGGGACAAAACACAATGTCCAGAAGAGAACAGAGAAAATGGTGACAGTTTTGGAAAGTAAGAAATATAAAGCATTAACTAAATGAAGTAAAACTATTTTACCTGTTTAAAAACAAACAAAAGAAAAAACCTAAGGGGATTCCTGTAGTTATCTTCAAACAGTAATCTCTTTTATAGAAGTGGGGCATCTTACACTTAATTAATCTGCATGTCAAATTAAGTGTAAGACATCATCTGGGACAAATAGGTGGAAATAAACACAAGTGAGGAATTTTCTAAGCAGTGCTCTAAAGATAAGTGTCTTTCTGATGTCCCATACTCCTAGTATACTGCTGGGCATATGTAGCAGGTCCTTGACAAGTGTTTATTGGACTGGGAAGGAAGCAGAGAGAGAAGAGATAAGGCTAGAATGCCATACTGCTTTTGCTTTTTTACAAGATGCTGCCTTGCTATGTTGCCCGGGCTGGTCTTGAATTCCTGGACTCAAGTGATCCTCCCACCTTGGCTTCCCAAGTAGCTTAGACTATAGGCATGAGTCATCACGCCTGGCTCCACTTTTTTCTTGAATGCACTTCCCTAGAAAGTCTTATTTCTTCACTCACTGCCTGATTTTTCCCTTAAGTCTGAGAATAATAGCAATATGCATTCACAGTTAAGTTGTACAGTCTGTTTGAGGATGAAATAACTCCGAAGGCAAGTCACATCATTCTTTTAAGAATAAAGGCTGCTTATGAACTTTTCTCTTTCTCCATAGGGATTGCTGGTGGGATGTTCTTGAAAAGAACTCGTGTTAAGAAGCCTGGACAAGAAGTCTTTAAAAGTGAACTATCAGAATATATCAAGGTTGAGGAGCTGTACATTGGAACCCAAGTGAATGTGAATGGCTACCTATTTCGTTTGCTCAATGCTGATGAGTACACCTTAAACTACATGGAGAAAAATTCAGATAGGGTGAATTTGCTTTGTATAATTCTTGACTTGCCTCTCAGCCTTCCACAATCTGTTTTTCTTTCCCTAGGGCTTTTTCTTCATCTTGCCACCAGTTTTACATTGTGCATTCACACATGTGGGCATGAATAATGGATCCGTGTGACTTGGCCACAGGTCCCATCATAGGGGCCAGGTCCTTGTCTACTCTGTTTACACGCTGGGTTCTCTGCTGCCCAGCATCACAGATTCCAGGCACAGCTAGGAGGCAGGGCCAGGGTTGAATCAAGTTTCCTGCGTTTTTGCTGACACTAACAATGTTTTCAGAAAGAAATTCAACAACGATAGGAAAGGAAGAAAATCTGGTGCCACACACTGTGCCGTCTCAGTTAATTGGCACAGGCCAACAGAGAAGGCCAAGACCTGAACAAACAGAAACCCCAAGGGAATCCAATAGTTGCTGGGGTTGCAACTTCCCATAACAGTAGCCACCTGAGGCCTAAATAAGAATTTAAGGAGAAATTGGTAACAGTGAGCTCAAAGAGTTTTGTTTTAAATTTGAAATAAGATGGCAGATAGGTACTGTATTGAAAGTGCTATTATTGCAATGCAAATCAGTAAAAATAACATATTGATAGAATCGTGATTTTAAATGTGAACTAGTCCAGTGTACAAACACGTACATTTGGGAATCGTTGCCTAATATTGAAACATATCTTGAAAAAGTTAATTCTCAAAGTCTACCTATAAGTGACAATATTTATGTACCATTTATATACATATAGTGCCAATTTTGTCTCATTTATATATAAAATGCTCAGGGTTAAATTGGTAAGAGCAATCTCTCTGCATATATCTCATCATTCCTATCAGTTTGGGTCCTCTGAGAAGCAGATGCCCCGACAGAATTATAAGTGTGAGAGATTTATCAGGGGAAGTTTTTGAGAAGGATAAAGGGAGAAGGAACAGAAGTAGGCAGCGAGGGCCTTCAGACCAGGAGGCAGGCCTGACCCTGTAGAAGGAGAGGGGGTGGGAGGAGGGGTGCGTAGGGAGAGCCTCAGCTGGCAGTACAGGTCTGAGAAAGTCTCGGCCAGGGTGATGGGGAGCCCCAGAGCACAGACTGCCCATCAGAGAGGTCACATGTCAGGCAGGAACTGCCCAGCCTAGACCCCCTGCTGTGACACTGTTTGTGAACTCAGTGTAGATCCAAAAGTTATAGCACCTGGAGGCTGTCAGCAAATGGTACTCTTCTCAGGGTCTCTCTTGACAGGAGGCGTGAGCAGTGTCCTCCATGGCTGCCATACCATCCCTCCATTAGTAGTGTTAGGGATTCAAATTATTAGAAAACTATGACCCAAGAGAGCTATTTGAAAACACTGAATTCAGGCAAGGAACTCAATAATTGGGCAGTTAGATTTGTAGCAACTAGCAGGCCTGGCTTGGGAACCTGACTCCATACTCTATAGCTGAGGGACCTTAGGTGTGTATCTTTCTTGAGCTTCAATTTCTTTATGTTTGAAATAGGAGTAACAACAGAGCTTATTTCATAGAGTTGTGTGAAGATTAGATGTGATAATATATATGAAGGGCTTAGCTCCATGTGGTCTGTAGCAAGCTCAGTCAGTGTAGCTATTGTAAATTAGGGTTCTATTTCCAGGCAGAGGGAGAATCTATACCTTAATATAAAATATATAGAGCATGAATATAAGATATAAAGGGCTTTTCTCCTTTCAGAATGATAAAAGCAGGGTAGTGCATTATCTGGTATCAGCATCCCAAGTGAAAACTGCATTATTTTAAAACTACCCTTAATAAGAATAATATACTCTTTAATATCAGTCTGAAGAGTCTTTTCAAAAGAGCTAATAGATCCTATCATGGACATAGATGTAAGGAAGTACGAAAAAGGGAGGTGGTGGTAGGATAGGAATAGGGCCTACAATAGGTACCAAACCACCTGGATCATTTTCTGGTGAGAGAGGAAGCTTTAATACTAAGTTACCATCAATGTTTAATTTCATCTTCTCATTTTTGATCTTTTAGCTATAATTATTTACAGCCTTAGGCTTTACTGGATGGAATAAGAAGTATTCTTACCAAGTCAAAAATCTAATCACAGGGTGGAAGACAGGAAGAGTGGGCTGTCCAGAAAATGAGTATACAGCGGTTACAGTGCCTTTGTGGATCTTTGACACCTAACCTTGCTCTGATCAGTGCATTGCCTAGTGGCCAACAGTTCCAGGGGAGCCCATTCTAAAGATCTGGAGGAAATGGAAGTCTATTTATCCAACTTTGAATTCCCACTTTCTTCCCGTTAGTGTCTCCCAATGTCCAAGGATTACAGGGAGGAGGCTGAAGTGGAAGCAGGGATTGTTTTCTGATCTCTGTGACCTATTGTTCCTTAAACTCATTGTTCTCAGATCTGGGGCCTTTGCTAATGTCCTCCGTTGTCCTAAAACCTTAACTGAGGAGATGCAAAGCTAGTCATGTCTTCTTGGTGTTGGTCTCTTTGGAAAGACATGCCTGCTAACTTCAGGTTCACAGTGTGAAATCTCTTTGCTGGCCGTCAGAGAGATTGGGCTCCTGAAGTCTAGGAAATATTGAAATATGTCTTTCCTTTCATGTCTCCCATATAGTTTCCTTTCAGCAACATCGAACTTGCCCTACAAAAGCTGAAAGAAGAATCAAAATCCAGAGAGATCAAGCAAGTATTTGCATCTGCTGACTGTAGACACACAAAGATGGTGGATTTTAATACGTTCAGGTAAGCCATATTCTGTGAAAAATAATCCATTTTCCCCTCAAGATTGCCCAAAGAACAGAAAGAACAATTTATTTCCTAGTACTTCCTAATCAGTTGACTATTTTTAATAGGAATTGGCATTTCTTTGCATTCACATCACTTTGTGATCAAGTTTTGACCATTAATATTCTTGTAAATTTTGTTCATTTGCATATAAAAGAAGTTTATGGGTAGAAACAGAGACAAAAGCATAGGAAGTCAATTGTCTTGTGAATCATGGTGTTGAAGGGTCAGGGGATGCCAGCAATGGTACATCTGAGTGAAAAAGACAGAAAGAACTGCAGTTAAGAGCATCCCTCCAACCAAAATCTGGGGGACAAAGGAGGGACATCTTCCCAGGAATGCAATGAAGTTGGAAAAGATAGTGAAAACTTTACTGATTATTAGAGAAAAAGTGCTATGCGTGCATCTGTGTATATGTATGCTTGCACACATATGTGTATTTCAAAAGACATAAAAATATAGGAATCAAGGGAAAAATATATGACAGTAGTTAGAAATATTATAACAAATCATGAACAATAAAGATTTTCTCTAAGGTAAAGCTGAATTCTGGGACTATCCAGTGACTGACCTGGGCAAATTTCCAAACAGCGGAAACATACAGGGAAACTCACATTCAGAGTCCAGTACAATTGTGAGACTTCTTAGCCTGAAAATAAAGTGAATGGAGCGTTCAGGAGAATGTAAATTAAATCATGGATGGAGGACAAAGGGGACTTTCTCTTTAGGCTGAAAGTTCTGGCTCCTGAAAACAATAGTGGCTGAAAACTATATAGTAAACTTGGCTTGATGCAGTCAAGATGTGGACTGAGAAACGAAGTGAGCCCAGGAGAGGGTAGCTGGGAGGTCTTTCCAACTTTGTGTCTACAGTCGCCTATTGCATCACTACCTGGTGGCCTGGAGCCCACTGTTAGGCCCGAAGTGTCCCAAGAGCTCATTTGTTGTTTTAACAAAGCGCTTTTGTGTTTCCAAAATGTTCTTTAGAGAGAAGCAGACAGAGGACATAGTTTTATTGTTTAGAATTCCCAACCTTCTGGGATCAATAAGAATTTATAGTTCTTTGTTATTGTTCATAGTCACATACACATGTTCATGGTGTTTTGGAAAGCAAATGGAGACAGAGTAAAGAGCAAAGACAATTACTCAGGCCATGGGCTAATGGAAAGCAGTGGAGGAGAAAACAAGAAATTTCCATCAGAAGTGAAGGAGTGGTTTCATTTTATTATTTTGTGTTCTTTTATAAAAGCATCCATTCTCCCAACACTCTTGCAAAGTCTACTGGAAACACTTTAGTGAGTTTATGGGGCTTTTTAGGAACCACTGAAGCCAGGCAGGAGATCCAAGAAGGAAAAGTTGTTTTGCGGATGGAGGCTTGACCCTAATTGTGGGTGGGATAAAGGGCTGCCACATTGTGACTGGAGGGGTGACCTCAAGGCGGAGCATGCTCAGATAAAATGAGATCCCTATCCCAGAAATTCCTTCAAATGAAAATCAGATCAAGTTACTCCCAGCCTGAAAAATCCTTCAGTGGCTTGCCATTGTTCTCACAATAAGATCCAAACATTTGACTGCAGTTAGCAGGGCCTTGAGTGACGTGACTTTGTATTTCTTGTGTCTTCACTTCTTTTTCTCCAGCCCTGTCCTTTGGCCTCACTGTCTGTCTTTTGGTTTCTTAAACACATCAAGTTCTTTCCTACCTCCAAGCCTATGCACACACAGTTCTTTCTGCCTGGAATGCCCTCACTACATCCTTTTCATGGCTGACTCTAGGACTCACCTCCAATGTCAGCTCCCCAGAGGGGCTTGCTTTCTCTCTATCTTTTTTTTTTTTCTTTTTTTTGAGTTGGAGTGTCACTCTGTCGCCCAGACTAGAGTGTAGTGGCCGCTCCCGGCCACCGCAGCCTCGACCTGCTGGGCTCCAGCGATCCTTACGCCTCAGCCTTCCGAGTAGCCGGAATTACAGGCGTGCACTACCACGCCCGGCTGAGTTTTTGATTTATTGTAGCGATGAGGTCTCGCTGCCCAGGCGGGTCTCGAACCCACGGGCTCAGGCAATCCACTCACCTCAGCCTCCCAAAGGCGGGGGATTATAGGCTGAGCCGCTGAGCCCTGCTTCTCTGACTATCTTAAGTAGATCACCCAGCTGTTCTTAGCCCCTTTTTTATATTTATCAGAGAACTTAGCACATCTTGCAGTTATTTTACTTTGAGATCTGTTTACTTGTGTGTGTGTGTGTGTGTGTGTGTGTGTGTGTGCGCGCGTGGGTGCATGTGTGTGTCTTCTATTAGAATGTGAGCTTTCTGAGGGCAAGGACCTTGACGGTCTTGTTCACTGCTGTACCCCTGACTCCTAGTGCTGGACTCAGTACGTATACATAGTTACTAAATGAAATAATGAGCCACTAGAGTTATTCTTGGGAGTTCTAGTTTGAAGGTGGTGGCATGGCCTCCAAATGAGAGTGTAGACCAGGAGTCCAGATGTCCTGGTTCATATGACATATTTGTGTCAGATGCTGAGCCCTCTGTGCTTGGGACTCACCTTCTGTGCTTGGCGTACAAGTGTGGGTCCCTGTACATTGTCTTTGGCCTTCTTTTTTGCTTCTCATACTCTTTTCTTGGCAAAGACAAAGGAACTACGTAGTTAACTGCTATCACAGCACATGCTAATTTAATTCTCTGTTCAGTGCTTTCACTAGCTAATATTTTTCTTTCTTTCATTTATGTGTGTATTTATATGTGTGTATTCTGGCTCCATTCACCAGAATGTAACCTCTTTAAAGACAGAGACCTTCTCTTTCTTGTTTTCTGCTTTAGTCTGTCACTTATCACAGTATCTGGCAAATAGTAGGGTGTTAATAAATACTAGTTGAGTGTATACATTTTATTCAGCCCTCACTGCTTTTGCTCTTACCTGTAGACTGATGCCTTCATATTAGTTCCTCAAGCTCAGATCCTTCTTCTGAACTGTAGACCTGGAAATATGAATACCTCTAGGATGTCTCCTTCTTGGATGAACCGTAGGCACCCCAAAATAACTTGCCCTGAATTGATCTCATTTTCTTCTTTTGTTAAGATGCATCTGGGGACTGTTTCCTAGTAAAGGCCATCATACACATCCCCAGGGCCCAGGCCAGGAGTCTGCCTAGTCTGTCCTCTCTCCCCTAACTTGACCTCTCCCACTCACCCTTTGGAGCTATGTGTCTTAAACTACCTCTGGAAACTTTCCCTTCTCTCTGCCCCCAACTTCACTGTTGCAGTCCAGCTTTTCATCGCTGTTCACTTGTACCCTCTGGAGAGCTGCATAACTGACCTCCTCTTTCTTTTCTTTTTTTCTTTTTGAATTGGAGTCTCACTCTGTCGCCCAGACTGGAGTGCAGTGGCCGCTCCTGGCCACCGCAGCCTCTACCTGCTGGGCTCCGGTGATCCTTCCGCCTCAGCCTTCCAAGTAACCAGAACTACAGGTGCGCGCTGTCACGCCCGGCTCATTTTTTGATTTATTGTAGAGATGAGGGCTCGCCAAGTTGCCCAGGTGGGCCTTGAACCCATGGGCTCAGGCAATCCACTTACCTCAGCCTCCCGAAGCGCGGGATTATAGGCTGAGCCACCGAGCCCGGCTTGACCTCCTCTTTCTTAACTCTCATCCTCCAAAGTGTTGTCAGAATGACCTTCCAAAAATCTGATTGGATCATTCCTCTGCTCAAAATCCCACATCAGTGTATTATGTGAGTTTGCCTACCTCTCTCTGATTATTTCCAACTCACTAGAAGAATCTTCTAGCAGAAGCTACCATTTATTGAGCACTTACTGTGGGCCATACCTCATGCTAAATGCTTTTCATATACTATCCACTGGTAGCTTCTTGTTGTTACTTGTTTATTTCCCTGCCTCCACATCAGCTCCTGCCAAGTATATTAGATGTTTCTTGAATAATTTAATGAATGATCCTATTTCTCAAGGAATATTCAGTCTAAAGCCTGCAGCAATCAAGTAAATAATTGATTACCATGCACCAGGGAAGGGCCATCTGGCTCTGACTTAGGGAAGTCAGGGAAAGCTAGGCCTGACCCTTGCTAGCCAAATGACTTGGGCAACTCACTTCATCTATCTGCACTCACTCTTGTGTCCATATATTGGTCTCTAAGGTCTCTTCCAGGCTCTGACAATCTAAATTCTTAAAATTCAGGTTTATAATGCACTTGTGAAATGTTCTCTCTTCAATTTTGTGCATTGAAACAGTGGAGAAGAATAGAGGTAGGCAAAGGCAGGATTGTAGCATAGGTCTATGGGCTTCACCTCTGTGGCCCTGACTCTCTCCTGCTTAGATACCTGGCACTCTCAGTGTAAACCTTGGGCATCAGAGCCCAGACCTGCTCCTCTGGACGTTCCCTTTCTTCCTCTCAGAGATTTGCATCTCCTCCCAGGAGAACCTCAAGGGTAGGAGCTAATAAACTACCTCTGCGTATGGGGTACCATGGCTGATCATGGATTAATGTGCAGGCCTCCCTGAGATAATCTGTCTCAGAACAGACCTGATGGAACACAGGTGGCCATCAGGAAATAGAAGTAGGGAGTGTTTTTCTTTTTTTCATTTGGGTGGGGAACATTCTTTTGCCTTGTGGGAGGTCACCACTTCTGCCTCTGTTTCATAGGTCCTCTTTTGGACCCTTTTTTCACAGTCTGTCAGATTTGCCCTTGAGTGCTGCTGATTATTATCTGAGAATGTGCAGAGAGCCTTCTCAGAGACTCGGGATAGACACCCAGTGGCGACAGCGGTGGGCTGAATTCAGCAGGGAGTGAGGCAGGGACTAGGCTTTCCTGAGTTTGTATTTCAAGCAGTTGGGAACATGGGCAGGGTGGAGCTTCCTGGTGTGGACTGTGGACTTTGAACTACAGGCAGCAGCAGTGAGGGTCCAGTGCCAGGGAAGATGTGGTTAGTCCCTCTCTCCCTCCTTCTGGCCA